ACACAGACAGGGTCGTCCCAATATGCGTTTTTGCAATTTGCATACAGGCAAAAACGCATAAAAACACTTTTCGAATTCACAAAGATTTTCTAATAACTCGTATCCACACATTTGATAATGATGACAGACATACTACACTTCCCAGTAGCAAAAATCGTCTCTGTTACTGTATGGTTCGTTCCGACGGCCTGGTACATGTCATTATCATTGGCTGTACCTACATTCCCCTGTGTCGAACTGGTACCCCTCTTAATTGTAAGACTAGAAATATTATTTACATGATCACATGTCGGGCTTGTCAAATGCGGTACATCGGTCAAACTACTAGGAGTCTCCAAGAGAGAGTTAAGAAGCATCGATTTGGAGTTATGAAGAAAAAAAAAACACTTTGTTGTATTGGCACTTCTAGCGGAGTAATCACTGTCCTGATGCTCAAGCTATTGAAATTATCGAAACAATTGATGGTCCGAACATTTCTACACAAGATCATAAATTATTTTGCATTAAACTAATTAATACAGCATATCCTTGTGCGCTAAATGACAACATCAAATCGTATGGTACTATTTCTGACAACTTACCTTCTTTTGCTATGGGAGAAGTCCGTACTTCCAAATTCCGCTACCGCGCAACGGTCGAGCCCGTGGTATGCATAAACACAAGTCGTGATTGGCTGATATGACACTTTTGTTCCTTGGGCTGTTTCATGCTGTGTTGTCTCTCCTGATCACATTAAGGAACTTCTTCGTAGGTTCCGTTACGCTAATAAACCCACGTTATTGGCAACACGGAATCTTCTGACCTCTGGTACAGTGCTATTTACAAACAACTGCATTCTGCAAGATTTTCTTCTGAAACGCTTTGTGCAGCTCAATCCACAGGATAAACGGCCTGATACAATCTGTCTTGTTGTCCCATATCCCTGTCGCGCATATGATTCGCTGCACCTCCGATCAATTTTTTTGCGTTTTTGCATGTATGCAAATGCGAAAACGCATATTGCGATGACTCTGGTGTGTGTGTGTGTGCATGTGTTTTCGTGTGTGTGTCTGTCTGTCTGTCTGTCTGTCTGTCCGGGTATTTCAACTCGACACCCAAGCAAGCTCCAGCGCCAAAATTTTTCGAGTGGGTTCCCCAGCCAAGTGCCATCCCAAGACCGCGGTGCCAATCCTCACGCACGTCTTGGCCCCGCGTACGAGTGCCTCAAAGTTTTGGCGGGAAAATCGCTAACTTGGGAACCAGAAAAGCTAGAAAGCTGAAATTTTGGGATCATGTTTCCCGTCCATATAGAACTCAAAGATTTCAAATTCAGCCCTTGGGGACTCGTAGTTCCCGCTTTTACGGCCCCCTGAGGGTTCCTGGCGCGAAAATCGCTAGCTCGGGAACCAAGAAAGCTGGGGGCTGAAACTTTCAGGAAATGTTCCTAGCTCATCTACTACTTAAGTCTATCAAATCCAGCCCCCAGTCATGCGTGCTTGCCACGTACGGCCCCGTGAAATTTCCTGGCTGGAACTTGGATAACTCGGGAACTAAGAAAGCTGAGAACCTGGGATTTCAAGGGAATATTCCCTGTCCAAGTATAGCGTGGACAATTAACTTCCCAAAATTCGAGAACCAGTATGTCAGAGGTTTGTAGCTAGCGGAATTTCGAGTGATCTTATTACAGCACGAAACACTGCAAAATCGCATGACCGCACGGGCCCGCCCAGTGCGCGTCGCCAATGATTTATGGCCCTGCTGAACGTGTTGTTACCGGTAACTTAGATATAGTTCGAGACGTAACACTACGTGATAATTACCAAGCCCCCGTTCGACGTCGTCTTGTGAATGTTAGTTATGGTGTTACTCTTGCTCTTGATAAGTTCATCGTAAAGTTAGCTCATGTTCACCGCGGCAGTGCTACCCAGCGCTCCTGGCAAAGTGTTAAGCAGCGTCGGCTAGCGGTGCCGCGAAGTAGCATATGTCAGAGAAACTAGAGTAATGGCCGAGTGCTCGCAGATCGTGCATGTGATGCCGGCCGAGCCGAGTTATAGTAGTTGGCTTTTGAGCTTGGGCCTCATCAATTCCCGTTGTTTGAGGTGTGTCTCGGTGAAGGGGTGTGGGGCGGTTTGGGATTTGCCGGGGTTTTCCCGGGTGTTATGAGAGCAGTGAGTCACGTGACCCTTGTTGCGATGTTAGTACGAGTTTCTGCTCAGCAACAAGCCTCATTCGTGTCCTCGGTGCTGGGAAAGGGACGGGGGAGGGGGGTTCTTGGGTCGTACTTCCATGGTAGTTCATGCTGGGAGCTCTCGGAACTTCTCTGGGGCTTATGGCATTGAATCTCCCCCGCTTCTTCCCCGGAGACTGCCTTAGCCGTGAGTGTAGTGCACGCCCGGCTTGGCAAATCTGTAAATATACGCAAAAAATTCCCTCCCCTTCGTTTCCTCGCCTCGGTCCCCGCGACCTCGATCCCTCTCCCCCGTCCTCTTCCCCCCATCCCCTCTGCAGCCCCTGTCCTTTTTTCTTCTGGACGTTATAATCATTTATCGTTTCTATGCATATTGGCAAGAGGCTGTGTGTGTGCATGCGTGCATGTGTGTGTATGTATATGCGTATGTATGTATGTGCATGCGTGTATGCGTGTGTATGTCTATGAATGTCTGTGTGTGTGTCTGTGTGTTCGCACGCTTTG